AAACAATCTAGAGTAAATTGGAAAGGATAGCAAAATTGACATTATAATACCATGTCCACTTGGGTGAAGTAAAGGGATTTAATTAGATGAAGTGGTGAGCCTTTGAATTAAGCTTGGGACATCTTTGCTGTTCAGTCCCAGAGATGGAAACCACAAAGGGCAGCTGCTCTCCCAGTCTCCCAGGGAGGCTGTCACTAGAGTGCTTCTTTTAGGAACACCTGGACCCTTATTCTCCTGCTCACTTTGTGGACTATTTCATAATCAGTGTTCTCTGCCTGGAAACTTGGTCTCTGGTGCAGAATGCCTACTGTCACATTATTCGCATCTAGTCAGAAGAACCTGTTCATTCTAGTTCTAAACTGAGCACCTCTGTGGTCTCTGTCCCCTGCTGGGCACTACAGCAGTCACACCAATGAATGACTTCATGCATTAAACTGACAGCCTTGTAAGCCTCTCCCTGTAAGAAAGTGAAACAAAACTAGTGTGTTTTACCTAGATTACTGAAGAAACCTTGTGGTTTTGCTGGATTCCCATGGAGAAAGCATGCTGCAATAGAGGCCCCTGCCTGTGAGGGTACAACCACTCAGTATGCTAACTTTGGCTCAGCATCCTTTAAGAAAGCCTGACACAAGTCCAGGGATGTTGGTCTTCTTCTTCCACCACTGGGTTTCTCTGTTTCTGTGTGTTAGGAGAAAGGCTATGTACCAAAAGGAGCAAGGGCATTAATTGCAGCTTTACCATTTTTACCATTTTCTCTTCACTTTCATTATTCTCATTTCAAAAAAAAAAAAAAATGAGGAGCAAAGAAATGTAATTAAATACTGAAGTTGCCTGGCATAAGGCTACAGTCAGGAAACAGTGATTCCGTGCTGTTATGCCCTGTCTCTGCCTTTGCAGGCATCGGCATCCGGAGCCATCCCCCACTACCACATGCTATTTGCATTTGTTTACTCTCCTATTGAATAAATGCATAGCCGTTATCCCTGGCAGCAGTTTTGGCCGGCTGCGTCAGCCTGGTCCACCAGCACAGCAATGCAGAAGCCAGCCCGAGTATTATCTCAAGGTGACATTGTAGTGGCTGACTGCAGCACCTCTTAATCCCTTTATGCAATCCTTCCTGCTTTGCTTGCAGTTGTTGGCAGGGCTTTAGCAGCAATAAAAATGGTTCCTTTCCCAAGACACAGCTCATTCAATTTAAAGCTGGATTGATTATAGCTAAACTTATGACATGTCTTTACAAAAGAAGAAAAACAGCAATAAATTATGCAGAGTGATTATGTAGCATTTATTGAGTCCCCACTGTGTCCTGTGCTCAGCACATATCAGGAATAAACTGCTGCGCTTGAGAATCAAAGCACAGCTGTCTATCTGAAAAGGCACTCGGGGAAGTCCATCAATCCAGGTGCCATTTAACTTCCATTCAAGAGTCGCCTGGCCAAATGACTGTTCTGTCGGTAAAGTTTTCTGACTGTATGGAGTTAGGGGACTCCTGGCCCATGTCTGTGTCTTCTCTTAATACTCTTTCTCTCAGAAACATTTCACTATCATCCTTGGCTTTTGATCTATGCTGCAGGAATTACTCTTTTTTTGTTCCTCAAACGGTTTTGACTCAAGACTATTTGCAGAGGCTAGAGTTCAGGTAGAGCAGGTGAGGGTGGCTCAGGTGTGGTGACACAGGTGAGGATGTCGAAGGTGAGGGTGGCACAGGTGAGGTGGAACACACGTGGTGGCACAGGTAAGGGTATCGTAGGTGAGGGTAGGGCAGGTGAGGATGGCGCAGGTGAGAATGGTGCTGGTGAAGGTGGCATAGCTTGCCTGTCACCTGTGAGGCATCTCCTGAGGCAGCCTGGCCATGCACAGGGTAGGGTACTAAGTTTGGAAGGCAGGACTTTTGTCTAGCTGGAGTTGTGCGGTAGTTACTATGGGCATGCAGCAATTGTCTTAAGAATACTGTTTAAAGTGTAAGTTATGCAACAATGATACAAGTAAATACTATGGCTGTCTTGGTTTCTTTTCTTCTACTGTAATGAAGATGGCTCCCCAACACAAGCCACTTAGGAAGGAAGGCTGCACTCTGGCTCACAGCTTGAGGTTATCATCCATCCCTTTGGGGGTGTCACAGCAGTGGAGCTTGAGGAGGCAGCTTCTTGCCTTGCATCCACAGACAAGAATCAACAACCAACAAATGCTACTGCTCACATCACATGTTCTATTTTATGCAGTCTGGGATTCCTGCTCAAGGAATGTTTCCACTCACATAATGATGGGCCTCACCTTATCAATTAGCCTTCACAAGTGTGCCTGGAAACCTGTATGCTGGCAACACCAACCATCACAATGACTTGGATTGGAAAGTTTAGCATAACATTCTCAATACATAGCAATCCCCATTCAGGGTAGTCCTTAATAATCATTATGTAAGAAACGAGAGAGAGTGAGAGAGAGAGAGAGAGAGAGAGAGAGAGAGAGAGAGAGAGAAACTGGCTTTTTCTTTCCTTACTTTAGCAGGCAACTTTTAAAGAAGGAAAACATAAAAGTGGAGAGAATGGAATGAATTAAGATAAAGAATATTAGTCAGCCTTCATCACATGACAGGTCTGCTCTGTCCAACCTTTTCAATATTTAAATGTTTAGAAGAGGAAGCAGAGGCTGTTAAAAAACATTCCACTGAAAGGAAACAACCTTAAGATAAAGCTAAATCCTCACTGCAAAGCAAGACACTACTGCCACCTAGAATTCCATACATGCTCGTGCACCTGTTCTCTGCACCTGGGATATGCTGCCCACATGCACCTGTTCTCCCACCTGGGATATGCTGCACACATGCACCTGTTCTCCCCACCTGGGATATGATGCACACATATGCACCTGTTCTCTTCACCTGGGATATGATGCACACATATGCACCTGTTCTCCACACCTGGGATATGATGCACACATGCATGTGTTTTCTTCACCTGAGATATGGTGCACACATGCACCTGTTCTCCCACCTGGGATATGATGCACACATGCACTTGTTCTCCCACCTGGGATATGATGCACACATGCATGTGTTCTCCGCACCTGGGATATGATGCACACACATGCACCTGTTCTCCCACCTGGGA